TTGAGAACCTAAACAAATGTCCCTGCCATGACTGTGGCATGAACCCGTGGCAGCGGAGGGTGGCAAATGGGGGAAGAGCTGACTCCACAGAGGGGGTGACACTCCGGTTGGGAGGTGCAGGAGTTTATCGTGGGGCCCCGCTGGCGGGGCAAGTGCAGGCATTCCAGGCAGAGGTGGGCTCGTGTGTGAACGTCAGCTGCAATGTGGAATCAGAAACCTTACCAATGACCTTTCTGTGCTGTGACATTGGTCCAGCTTGCACTTGGAATGGATCTTATACCCACACACGACTTTACATCACACACCAATCATTTAAAAAAATACTGGCCCACTGAGTTATGCAGATCTCCCAAACATTAACACATTTCAAAATAAAAGATCAAAAGTCACTCATTCATTATGTATTAGACAGCTGTCAAGTTCACGGTGTCATCTTCAACTCGGAAATCTGTGTCTTCAGCCCAGATCTCTCCACTGAGTTCCAGGCTTATTTATCCAGTTGCCTAATTGACTCCTCTCCACTATTACAAAGCCCTTCATCCCAGCATAAGGAAACATACGCAGGCATTCCACTCACACCTGGTCCTCTGCCATGTCCTTCGTCAGGTACTGACCAGCAGCAAAGCAAGCCAGGGAGCTATGACAAGCCCCTCCCCCTCAGCACCACCTCCGCACCCACAACTCCAAAGCCAAGTCCTGTCAAATTCACCTTATGTCGCCATGTCTTGTCCACAGAAAACCCTCACATGGACATAAATGGAAACTCTCAGGTCTTACAGCGCAGGCACAGGCAAGGGGAGTTACCAGATCCAGGGGAGGCTTTCCCACTCACTGTATTGTTGAACCTTATGACTGTAGGGGGAAAATTCAGATGCGGTAAGTAAAAGGCTGAAATCCATGTCCACACAGTGAAACTCTGAAGGCTTCTCCACTGCTGCATCCAGTCAACACTGTCTACACTGCCTCTGGCCCTTTCATGGCCAGAAGCAGTCGAGACGGCAGGCCTGTGAAACGAAGACAGAAAAGCACCGCCTCTGCGGGTCTGCCCAGACTCCTAGGCCAGAGCAATTCCATTACCTCTGAAGGTGACGGAACCCACCTCAGCCTTTGGGTATGGAGTCAGAGCAAACCAGCTATACACGTAAGAGGAATGAAATAAAAATTACACACACTTTTCTAAGTAAGAAATTTATTTGATCAAATGGCAATACATAAAGATATTTTCATCTATAAGGCTCTATTTAGACAAAATGTATCTTTACTATAAAATAAATTTAATCAATGTAAATGGCACTTAAAAACAGAAAGAACGAGTTTCCTACAAATAATGTATGGGTAAAGCATTTATAAAATCCTTGTGTGCTTTAAAATTAGGTGGCAACTATAACAGAAAAAACTGTAAATGCTATTTAAATGCAAGTTTCCTAAATTTATGACTCCTACACTATGTCATTATACACAAGGTATCTGGGGGTTCTGTGATAATCAAAGCACAGCCGCCATCAGTGAGAAGGATTACCCCACTATGAGCAGAATGGAAACAGTGGTTATGCCTCAACCTCGAGTTCCCCACAGAGCGTCCTGCCATTCCAAATCCTTGCGGCTTAGAATCGAGTAGCTGGGAATTTCTAATCACTCTAGTTGGGAATAACTAGAAAAGAAAGTTGGAAAACCGGAGTTGAAAAGAAGGGAGGGAGAGGAAACCAAGGCATAGCAGGGTCAGAGGTTTCTGCAGAGCTTTAGAAATGACCAAGGGGGTGATTGGTAAAGGGCCACGAAAAATGATTACATTGTGTAATGCTGAACGTACTAATTATCCTGATTTGAGAAATTGGTAAAGGGCCACGAAAAATGATTACATTGTGTAATGCTGAACATACTAATTATCCTGATTTGAGCATCACATATTGCACACAGGTATGGATATTCAATGCTGTGCCCCACAGATAGGTACAATCAATTAGAAATGACCAAGGAAATGGATTTTAAGACACACACACACACACACACACACACACACACAATCATTGGATCCTTGGAGCTGCAGGGAAGATGACACCGAGCCCGCAGGTAGGAACTGACCTGCATGATCTGTGCTCGGCGGGGAGCATGAAACCTTGACTGGAGGGCCACGTCATTACCTGGGTGCACTTGGGACAGGGCAGTGTGTAGGTTACTCAGCTTTCCCCAGAGATTTTACCAGCATCAAAGTGACTCTATCTTTAGGGCCATGATGGGGCCTGGGAGGCAGGAATTGGCAGCTCCAAGTCATAAAATCAGAAAACCTTCAGACATGTGGGAGGAGAACCAGATACACGAAGGCAAAGTCTCCTAGTGCACACTGTTAGCAGCAAAGCACAAAGGTGACCGGTGATTAAAGTGAGACTGAGTGACAGGAGAAATGGAAGCAATTCCGAAAGCCAAGGATGGTAACCGAAAAATAACTATATAGCACCCATTATTACTAATTTAAGATACATAAACATCATTGAGAATATATATAGTGTCTGTGCTATTATTTTTACAAATATAAATATTTGTGAGGGCTTTCAAAATATTTTAAATGACATACATTCTAGTATAGATATTATACTCCAGATTCATATAACTGACTTGATGTTACATTTAAACATAGTAGATTTGGGTTATATACAGAATAACTTGCAAGCCATTTCTTGAACCTTGATCACACAGCTAAGTGAATGTCAACACAGGAAGCCTTGTATTTGGGACTTTGGCAGCAAACATGTTTTTATCTACGTATTTGTGCTTATACAAAGATAAACTTGTTCATTTGCATAAATGAATTTAAAGTCATCCATAGGAGATCTTACACTTAAAACTCTTTTCTGCTTCTTTGCCATCAAGTCTATGTGGCAGGGTTGCTCAATGGCTTACGGCTCCTTTCCTCTGAGTCTCATTGTCTTCCTTAGAGGTGTGTATTAAAAAAGTTTCATGTTTCCCATTCAGGCTAGGTGACTCTTTTAAGATTCCTAACCTTGAAATTACAGTCCTCGTTATCAATGACACACACATACAAACACATTTTAGAAAAAACAGTGAATGATTTTGTATCGCCTACTTTTAGGAGTGTGCTTTAATAACAGATTTGGCTAGCTGGTTAGCTCAGCTGGTTAGTGTGGTGCTGACGGTACCAAAGTCCAGTGTTCTATTCCTGTACCAGCCAGCAAAACGAAACAAAATAACAGGTTTCTTCCCAGCACTACAGAAAATAACCTCCAAACACACCAGATTGATCATTAGAGACAACCTTCTCCACAGTCTGGGATTGACAAAATAAGACAAACCTACTGATGGCACCAGGAAAGAAACGCAAAGGTTTGTGGATCCACAGAACATTACAAAGGTGTCCACAGCATAATCTAAATTTACTTTCTACTCAGGGAAGGATGTCATATCTAATTACTCTAGAGAGTAGTTTAAGTTAGTTTTATGCATGTGTGGACTAAATGGGCTGCCCAATCTTACTCCAATGGTTGAAGGGGAGGCAGGACTGACACTGTTACATCGTATTACGTGTGCTCTTTGCTACAAAGAGAGGCAGGCCAACCTCACAGATCTTTACAATCTCAAAGCCAAGGGAAGTCACTCACCTCTGCTTCATTTCTCCAAAATAAATTCCTAATTTAGCAAACTGAAGAGGCTGGATTGCAGTAAAGGGAAATCAGCCTTTTTTACCATGATGTTAATGATATTTGATAAACATGTCAGGAGCTGGATTCGCAGTCTGTGTAAATTTTCTCAGTGAGTGGCCTTGCCTATAAATTTAGCTCAGATGAAATTACTAAAATAATTGGCTTCAATAAGTGGATTTAGGAAAACGAGAGGACGCTAGATTAGCTTATTTCTATATCTTCTCTAACAGAAACCACCGCATGGCAAGAGATGCCTCTTTTGGCTCTGTTCATCTGAAAGTCATTTTATTTGCAACTTTTCTTAGCTATTCAATGTGACAGGGGACTGACTCAAAGGCTGTTGTAGTGGATGAAACAAAATAAACTGAATGGGGCACGACTAGCACAGCCCAGCAATGGGCTTCACGCCACTAACTGGCCCGGCCAAGTGCCACCATCACATTGGCCAGACAGACTAATGATTTAAGCAAAACTGTTCTCATTTCCTACCAGCTGAATACAGATGCCGCTGCTTTCTAAAACATGACTCTAGGAGAAAAGAAAGCTCTGGAACCAAAGCCCTCACAGTAGTCTCTAGGTTGGGTGTCCACAGTGTGGCTGCGGTCACCCCTCTGTCCCCCAGCTGTGCTCGCACGCTCAGCTCTGGCACTAGGGATCTGGCACACTTTTTAAAGAGACATCTGTGCCTCTGGAGGAACAATCTGAAACTTCAGAATACAGACCAAGGAATGAAACGGACCTTTCAGTCACCTCATCCTGTGGCACTTGCTCAGCTACTTGACGCCCCCTCCTCCCACCCTTAGGAAAGTATGTCCCATACCCTAGTGTGTGCGACAAGATGGCTCCGAGTCACAAGCAGGTTGAGTGTAGCTGCAGGCAGACACCAAGCTCAGAAATGCTGCCATCTGTTATCCTCCCCGCTTCAGGGTTCAGACGTCTGTACAGGGCAGGGTGTGACAGGAGGGCGACACGAGTAAACTTGAACGGGTTCTGCTCATCATCTATCGAGATCTCTACACACACCACATAAGTGAGGTGACATAGTGGAGTGACACTTTTGGCCTGGGGGGAAAGTAAGACCAGTCAAATTCCATCTTTCACTAAAATTTCCATTAAAAAAACATTGAACATAGCCTGAGGTTCCCTGCTTTTAAATGTTACTTTAGCCTCAATTTCAAACTTACATCATTTGTTAAAATTATCAAACGGACAGCCACATTGCACATAGTGAAAAAATTGCCTGTGAGGAAAAAGGACCGTAACTTCAAAAAATAAGTGAAAAAGCATTTGCATTGATAGCGCACTAAGATTTTTAAAGTTAAAACAATAATATATCTAGAAAATACTGTGAAAATATAGATCTCAAAATAGAATGAAGTTTAGTCAGAAGGCTCAGTAAAATAATTACTTAAAAAGCTGACCAATTAAAGGACAGGTCAAATAATCTTTCCAACTCTGACCCTTCCTCATTTCCTGCCCTCAGATTCAACCAGTCTGGATGTACTAAAGCAGAATAATGTAAAAGCCATGAAAAAGTGCTGGTATTTTTCAGGATCTCTTCAAGACAACTTCCATCTTGATAACTTGGATTCTCCCTCTGATCAAGGCAACTGATGAACTTTTAACGTATTTGGGGACACCAGTTCAAAGACTTCATCGTCATCTTCTACCCCTTCCTGTATGGGCTTCATCTTGGCAGAGGCTCGCTGGTGTGGGGACGGCACATCTGTGAAGAGACACAGAAGGGAAAGCTGCTTAATGGACAGCCTGCCCTGACGCTGGTGGATGCATCCATTATCAGCACCGCCTGGAAAATAAAACTCCATGGGAAGCTGTAGCTAGTACCAGGAATGCAATTTCCCTACATATTTTATTTTTAATCCAGCATTTCAGTAAAATAACAAAGTCAAGAAAAGATTTTCAGTCATGAGAACAGATGTGGAAATGCTTCCACTGCATGTGCTTGAATCATATGAGATTCTCAAATACATGCAGTTCTCGGTGGGTCACCCAGAGTCTGTTTAGGACTCAGAATGCATGTTCCTGCATTAATAGACATGGTAATTTGAGTCCTATATTGGCTTTCAAAAACCAAATTAACTCCTAATTTCCCTAAAGAATACCTCTATCTGAAAACTATGAACCTAGTACCATCTGTAATACCACCTAAAAGTACATTTCTTGCCACCACCAGTTCACCATCTCCTTGGACTACATGGGAATGGGATAGGGAAAAAGGGAGAGTCCAGGCATTCTGGAGGGAAAAGCCAGTTGGAGAAAATTCAATCCCAGGTGGCAACAGGGGAAAGAGCATCCCCGAGGTCTTTTAGGATATCATTTAATCAAAGGAAACAAGAAATGATTCATTCATTCGGTCCCTCATTTGTTCGTGCATTCACTAAATTCTTATTGAGCATATAATGGGCACCATGTTTGATGGATAAGACAATATTGTCTAAAAGTACAAGTTATTATAAATAGATTTCTCAAGATGCCTAATGAACAGCTCATGTGACAGCATGCACATAAGCAAACCCTCTCCATACCTGTACAGTTAGCACATTCAAAGCCAGGATCCATCCCATGAGGGTCTCCATCCACCCCACCCACACCTGTGCCCATCCGTGCTGCCCAACTGCAGGGTGCAATGGCATCAGCCAGCAAATGCGGAGCTCAGGCTGGGCATGAGGTTGATGGTGGAAGGACAGTGGGTAAAGCGTGACCCTTTAAATACTTGCTAACAGCAAAGCAGAGTAGAGGGACCTTATTAAGACAGGAAGCAGATCAGCTACAAGATTATCATGGAAATTTGTCAAGATCAGCTGTCACTGCCGGCAAGAGTCAGCAGTGGCCAGGAGGGTTGGCCAGCACTGGGAGCATGCTGTGGTCAGCTACGAGGGGCAGGGGCCACTCCCCTCCAGGGAGGAAAGCTGAAACCGCAGTAAGCATATGTTACTCCAGCACCCAGACACAAATGGGCAGTGGTTCCCCAGACCCCAGTTTGGCACAGCTGAGGCAGCAGCAGAGTGGTCAAGACCAGAGGCTCAGGAAGCACTTCCAGGGTTCAAATCCCTGCTCTGCTGCTTGCTAGCTGTGTGACCTATGCTTGCCTACCAAACCTCTCTGGGCTTCAGTTTCCATATCTGCACAAAGGGGATATTCACAGGACCTGCTTCACAGGGTTATGGGAAGATTAAAAAAAATAATGCATGTAATGTGCTTAGCAGGGTGCTGGGCATATAGAAAATGTCACTAAATGTCATTTCTTATTAACTGTACAGTCACTGCCATACACCTGGGGAAATGCTGCACCAACAGTTACATCTTCCAACATAAAGAGATAATAGTTACGTAGGGCTCGGCTTGGGGACAGCTAACGTGTGTTTGTTGTATATACATGGAAACTGTTCACTTAATGACATTTACCGTCAAGATACTTGGTTTCTTGAAAGGTAACTACTGACATAAACTGTAGAAAATAAACCTCTATTAAAATGGCCCAAGAACACAATATTTCACAGAGCACAGCATGGTAAGTTCTCAGGCAAATTTTTTTTATCCTTTTTCACACAGGTGACATCAAACACACTGAATGCAACCTTTAATTCACACATCTGCTCAAGTGGCAATGAGTACTATTCGTGCGACCTTGGGCAAGTTACTTTCCTCCTCTGTACCTCAATTTCCTTATCTGTAAAATAGGAAAGGTAAGAAGAGTACCTACCTCACATGGTTGTTATGATGATTAAATGACTTAATATTTGTAAAGTTCTTAGATCAGTGCCTGGGATTTAATCATCACTTTGTAAGTATTTGTAAGGATATAAAATTAATTAATTAATATGATCTTTGGAGGGCAATTGGCCTGAGTAATGAGATAACTGATAAAATTCATCACTGACCATAGGAATGGCCAATAAAGGAAATGGGACTTGTGCTAAAATAGGGGTTTGTGTTACTCAATATAAACTGTCCTGAGTGTAGCAAAGTTGTCTATAAAAACAAAACAAAACAAAACAGTAATAGCTATGGCTTTCATCAATATTTATCCTCCAGTTATGATTGAGTCTCATAAAATATTAATTTAGGCTGAGTATTTGAGATCAGATAAAACCCTTACAACAAACAAGACAGCATGTCTAAGAGCATTAAACCAAATCAATAATATATAGCATTTAGGCATAGTTGTACAATACACATAACAGAACCAGACCCAGTTCATTCTGACCTACAAAGTAGAACTAATTGGTCTGCAGTTTTTAAGCCCGTCTATCCAATCAAGGGTTATAATCTATAGTGTACTGAGGCTGGTATCTACATTGGAGCCAGAATATTATCTGACCCTCTTAACTACTTCACATATCTCTGCACTTTTTCATTGAGAGAAAATGAAGAATGGACCCAATACAACTGGAAATGGTTGAGTGAAAACCTTCCAAGGACTTTCAACTTTTCTGTGAAAGAATTTATTGTGTTTCCAATGTATTTGCCTGGGCAAAAGAAGAGTTGTGTTCCTTATAACATAATGAGTCATCCGCAATCTTTGGGTGATGTCCACGAGTCTCCAAGTCAGGCCTCCTTGCCCCTTCTTTTCTAAGCTCTTGCAAACTCACTGCTCTCCAAATCCATCCCATCCTTTTCCTCTTCTCTCTTTTTTTTTTTTTTGTCTTTTGTCTTTTTCCGTGTCCGGCAACGGATCGCAACCCTCAGTGTTGCCCCCGTACCGGACCGGGGACCAGCAACGGGATTGCAACCCTTGGTGTTGCTCCCGCGCCTTGCTCAGCCAGTGAGCGGGAACCGGTCTGTATGTGGGATCCGAACCCTCGGCGGGAGCGCCACCGCGCTTCCCAAGCGGCGCACTTATCCAGTGCGCCACCGGGCTGGCCCCTTTTCCTCTTCTCTTGCTTTTCTTCACATCTGGAATGATCCCTCCACTCCCATCCCTACCCACCAAATCCCCATCTAATCCTCAAAGTAGAGTTTGAACTCCACCTCCTTCATATGCAATTTTCTCTAACTCCTTCCATGGGGAGATTCTATCCTTATTGCAGCAACTTCAGCTCTTACAGGTTCCACATTACATTGTGGTTACAGTACTTGTATCTCTCCCTTATACAAGTGAGAAAAGAAACATCTAGAAGGGCTGTAACCACAGTCTCTTCTCTCCTGCAGCCTCGCAGAAGTACCCCATGCACAGCCAGGGCCTTGATAATTACTTAAGTACATGGTGATGAAAAAAATCCCTCCTCTGAAACACCACATGGGGACCTTCAGAAAGGTGATCCTGAGAATGAGGGAAAACACGCAGCCATCACATTTAATCTCTGACGGGTCAAGCCCAAACCCTACCAGTGAGGCACCAGCAGCATTTCTCAAGTGCAGGCAGGTCTCCGGTTATGGTAAAACCTTTAGGAAAAAGGGCTGTTACCACTCTATTTGTTATCACATCCCCAAAGGAAATCACTTTCATATAATTGACTGATTCGACATTGCTTATAGCATGGGCAAGAGCACTGTCCTCTCAAGGGAACATCAACAAGGCTTAGCAGTACCTTCACTTGCTATAATGTTTTCACCCAATCAGCAAAAAGAATCAGTGAGCAACCATAAGGTGCTAGGCTCTGGGGTAAATGTTGAGAAAATAAAAACGAATCAGACCTAGTCTCTGACTCTTATCTTATTTCTCAGGAACTCAAAAGCACTTAAAGAGAGCAACTCATCATCAGCACATCCAGTACTATTATTTCTACTTTACACTCAGAAGCTAAAGCAAAGGCAACCCAGACCACCTGCGAAAGAACACAAATGGGCAGCTGCTATCGACAAGTTCATTTCTTGCCAGGGAGTGAACCACTTAGACAGACACACCTCTTGGAAGGATAAACCGGGTGGCCCTAACAGCCTGGAAAAATTTAATTTTCCTGCAAAAGTTCTTTTCACACCGAGAATACCTGACTCACGTTCATTTCAGGATTTGTGGCCGAGTTAGAGTCTACAAGCCCCTGATAAAGCCAAAACTAATCTGGAATATGAACAAAAAAATGAGGGTATGTTATACTTCAAGAGAACTATTTTATATTTCAGAAGTTGAACATTAATAGATTCTTCCTACAAGTTTGCCTGGTTCTTCATTAACTTTATTCACTGATGCATCATTGGAAATTTGCCCAGAAGGCTCAACTACCTCACACAGATGTGAGCGTATGAATGGAAGACAGAAGAAATAGAGCTTATTTCTAGTCAAATGCTTTTTCAAATTACTTTTGCCCTTCAAGGACATTACCATGAAGTTCTGAATAATGCTTTACTTTCCATTTACTCCAAATTCTAGAGGGACAAATAATTCCATGTCCATATATTTCCCAGAAAACTGATTTTTATTCTTCTATCAAAATCATTTTTACTGTAGAGAGGCAGAAGTGGTTAAGTATATCCTGTGGTGTGAAGTATGCATAAGACAAATGTATTTGTTTTATGCACAGGGCCTGGTTTTCCAAAGCCTTGCAGTTTCAAATACTGACCTTGCAAAGGACAGAAAAATTTCCCCAGGCTATATAGTCTCTGTTGTAAGATAAAAAATTGTAACACAGCAAGGTTGCTGGCTCAAAGACAGACAGGTTACTGATTGATATGTAAAGATACTGGGAAATTGCTGTAAGAAGAGAATGTTTGCTAAAATCAAGCTTTTGTTAGTGGATTGACTTAATTGCATTATAGAATGTCACC